TAAAGTAGCTGCCCAAAATGCAGTTATTTTTGACAGCAAAGACTCCTGAGAGAGAAAACTTAAGGATGAAATGTGAAAGTATGCCAAAAAAGATTAGTATGAGAAGCAGCCATCATTCCACTATGCAGACTACTTACTCACCTGCCATCGGTGTTATAATGCAGCTCCATCACAGCCCCACTGTGTCCTTTCAATGTAGCATAGTTATCACAGTCACCATAGACATTCCACAACACTGTTAGGGAGACGGGGGTTCTGTGATCATTATTGTGCAAAAGAAAACTCATCATTAGGCATAGAAAAGGTACTTACAAATTTACCACAACAGTTTTGAGACTATACTTCTCTGGAACACTATTGGTTCTACTGGTGGGACCAATTTTCCTGACACTATAAACAAAAATAATGCAATACTTTCATATTTAATAAGGTTGAAAATTTAGTTAATGATATAATTTTTTAAATCTTAAATTTTTTGCTGTAATGTGAAAAAAGTTAGTACTCACTACTACATGTTGGTTGAGTATAAGCAGACTGCAAAATGATGGCACTTAGAGACAACCCAGGAAGCTGCGACTGACTTGAAGGTCACATGGCAAGGACTATGCTATGTCTACTCAATCCACATGTACTATGTACCTATAACATGCTAGGTGCTGGGGTAAAATGGGGTAAAGAAGACACAGCTCCTCAGGGAGCTTCGTCTAGCAGGGACTGAAGTTTGATTAGTGTTATTAAGGAGCACCTCTAGGGGCACTTGGGTGGCTCAGAGGTTGAGTGTCTGCCTTTGGCTCAGGTTGAGATCCCAGTGTGCTGAGATCCAGCCCTGCATCAGGTTCCCCATAGTGAGCCTGCTTCTCCCTCTGCCTATGTTTCTGCCTCTGTCTTTCATGAATAAATAAATAAAAATCTTTAAAGAAAAAAAAAAAAGGAACACCTCTATACATAATAAGGTATATAGAGAAATTATTTTTCTGTTGACAAACTGTTTTTTTTGTTTGATGAAATAAGCATGTTGATTCAAGGATGTTTTGCTAAGATTCCAAGTCTTCCAAATGCTTGGTCACTGTTTAGAATCACAGAACTAGAAAACCTAAATCAAGACAGTGAAGACAGCTATCATCCACCCTGAGGTACAGGCTTAAAAGCAAAAAGCTAAAGGACTTGCTTCACTTCACAATGTAACAAATGATGCCAGAATAAAACAAAGTCCTGATATCTTCTCTCTTGCTTTTTCTCATGACTCTTCCAAAGTGATTTTTTTTCAACTTATTTCTCAAAGTATTCCCAACTAGTAGCTGAGAATCTGGATATAGATCTCCCCCACCTTTTTAAGATTTTATTTTTAAGTAACCTTTACACCCAACATGGGGCTCGAACCCACAACCCCAAGATCAACAGCTGCACACTCTATAGACTGAGACAGCCAGGTGCCTCTTGGATGTAGATCCTAATAATGTACAGGTAAATTATCCAAGAGAGTTGCCACTTTAGGATCCCCTCCCCCTCCTTTCTCAGATGCTAGGATTCTATGAGTGAATCAAGAGAAAGGCCTTACATCCTTGGGAGAATGAAAAGCTATCTCTCTCCCCATTACTTCCATTAACCTGCTATTCCTAGATCTATTGTCTGGCTGAATTAGCTCAAGATTTGCCTCCATGAGGAAGATATTCTCAAAGAAGAGCAACTCACTTTTCAACTAGTAACATAATCCCCTCTGTATTTACCACATGGATCTTGAGGTCTATATTCAAGATCATTCAACATTCTCCTTACACTATTTTAGCTATGTAGTTTGTGATGCGAACAATCCAGACTGATACACTCTGTGGCACTAAAGGTTTTAAAAAATAATCACTATTAGCAGAGAGAGATTATCCCAACTTCAAAAACTATCTCTTACATATCAGTCGATCAAAGCCTGCAGATGCTAAGGTGGATCCATTGGGATGAAACTTGCAGCAGTACACTTCCCCTTCATGTCCTGAGAGAAGCATGATTGGCGCCTGAAGGGAGGAACACCTTGGAGGTCCCTAAACAAAAGACAGAAGTACAGGGTAGTTACTACATACAGGCAAAGGAGACTACAAAAGACACGGTAAACAATCACTGAGTAGATTTCTCCTGATTTAGAGAATGGTAACTCTTCTCACATTAACTTAGGCCTCCAATTTGATACCCTCCTACTCAAGTGTCCAGTGTCTACCAGTTATACTAACTACTCCCTCAGGCTCCTTCTGTCCCATAGCCAACTTTAAATTGCTCAAATATGTTAAGCTCATTTCTGTCTCAGGATCTTTACACTTCTTGCTCCTGATCGGAATCCTCTTCCCTTGATCGTCCTGTGTTTAGCTCTTTCCAAATGTTTCCTCTTCAGAAAGTCTTTCATTGATCACTCAAACTCAAAGCAGCATCACACCTCCCCTCTGTATTCCATTAATCCTACTGTATTTCCTCACAGCACTTAAGACTACCTGAAATCACCTTCCTTTGTATTGGTTTACACATTTTGTCCTCTTCCCTGGTAGAAAAGCAGCTTTGTGAGTGCAGGGACCCTGCATTCAACACTTTTCCCAGTCTCTAGCACATTTAATTAATGACTGAACTGAGCTTCCCAACAACCCTGCAAGGTACATATTACCCAGGTAAGTAGTTTTGACTATGGTCTTGACACTAAACCTAGGCTTGGACAATTCACTGGAACCTGGGCTGACATTCCGGTCAGAGAGAAGACCTGGTACACTATTGATAATCCCCAAACATTCTTAATAGCTTTCAGTTTACTCATTTATTTTTTAAAAAAATATTAACGTGCCAGGCACTGTTTTAGGCGTTGGGAAAAACAGTACTGAACAAAATAAACAATGGAGTTTGTGTTCCAGTGGAAAGGAGGAAGAGAAGAGATGAAGAGAGTAAACAAAACATATAGCAGGTTGGTATGTGCTACGGTAGAAAAAAAGCGATGTGGATTAATACATATGGGGTATTGCAATTTAAAACAGGGTAGTCAGGGATCCCTGGGTGGCACAGCGGTTTAGCGCCTGCCTTTGGCCCAGGGCGTGATCCTGGAGACCCGGGATTGAATCCCACATCGGGCTCCCGGTGCATGGAGCCTGCTTCTCCCTCTGCCTATGTCTCTGCCTCTTTCTCTCTCTCTCTCTCTCTGTGACTATCATAAATAATAAAAAATTTTTAAAAAATAAAAATAAAACAGGGTAGTCAGGAAGGCCCTTACTGAAAAAGTGATATCTGAACAAAGATTTGGAGGAGCTGAGTGTGTAAACCACATTCCAGTTGAGTGCAGCAAATGCAAAGGCTCTGAGGCAAGAGCATGGAAGCCAGTGTGACTGGAGCAGGGGGAGTAATGGAAAATTGGCAGATCTGAGAGGTAAAGGGAAAATGGGCAAAAGATTTTAAGGATTCTAAGGATTTAACCCTGGGTGAAACGGAAAGCCATCAAAAGTTTTCAGCAGAGGGGAACATGAGCTGACCTTTAGCAGGATTCTCTAGCCACGGGACTGAGAATAGATGGACCATTAAAGAGCAGAAACAGGAAATACCAGTTAGGACCTCACTACAGGGATCCCTGGGTGGCGCAGCGGTTTGGCGCCTGCCTTTGGCTCAGGGGGCGATCCTGGAGACCCCGGATCGAATCCCATATCGGGCTCCCGGTGCATGGAGCCTGCTTCTCCCTCTGCCTGTGTCTCTGCCTCTCTCTCTCTCTCTCTGTGCCTATCATAAATAAATAAATTAAAAAAAAAAAAAAAAAAGGACCTCACTACAATAATGCCAGATGAGAAAAATAACGGCTTAGACCAGGGGCGAGTGACGGAGGTGGCACAAGGATCAGCAATTCGGCATATATTTTGAGGACGGTGTGCCAGCAGGATTTGCTCACCGGCTGGTGGAGAGGTTGAGAGTGGAGACGTTTACTTCTTGATCTGAGCCTACCAGCCCAGGAGCAGAGGGGTGATCGTTATTAGCTCCATCTTACAAGAAATGCAGTTTAAGAGCATGGATTCGGCTTTAAAATCTGTTTCCTATCATTTACCGGGTAAGAGCTTACAAAACAGGGCACTGAGAGTTCCTAACTCTTAAGCTGTTACCAAGATTAATGGGGTCTTCATACACAAAGCCCTTAGGACAGGTATTAAATGGAGGTCAGCTCTCGTTCGGTTGTTGTTAATAACAGTACTAGTGCTGAGACGGGGGGGGGGGCAACTTGACCAAAGCAAGCCGGGCTCATTCATTTCCTTTCTCTCCTCATTCATTCATTCATTCATTCATTCATTTTTTCCAGCCATTCTACGAAGTTTTCTGAATGTTTACTCCACGCTGGGTCCCTGTGGAAGATTTAATACGAAAAAGCCCCGGTCCGGGTTTTGACTTCAAGGTCCTTAACGCTAAATGTAACGCCACCTCCCAGGGTGGTCGAGACGCTGAACGCGGGCGTCCAACCAGGTAACGGGCGGAGCGTCCCGGGGGGGCGGGGGGGGTGTCGACCGCTTTTACAGTGTTTCCTGTGTGAACTGCAGGCAGCTATTCCCGTTCCTACCCCGCACTGCGGGATCACCGGGTGCGGGCTCTCTAAGGGGAAGATGAGCTGAGGGCCGAAGGCCGCCTGCGACTCCACTTACCGCTTGTAGCAAAGCTCCCGGCGCCGTCTGCTGCTGCCCAGCTCCGGGGCCCGACCCCGCCGCTCCCAACAGCAACTCATGCCGCTGCCGCTTGACTGGGACCAGTGGCAACTCCGGGCCTTTGCGCTTTTGCTGTTCTATCATGGCGGCAACCGCTCTCCTCAGCGCCGCCACTGACCGCGCCGACACCCTCAGGCAGCGCGCGATTGGTTCCGACTTAGTTCTTCCCCCAGAACTTCCGGCTTGGAGTAACCAATCGGTCTGCAGCAATCCCCTCTGCACCGCCTCCCTGAATACTCTTCTTTTATTGGTCAGATCTTTCTGGCGTCACGGGAGTGCGGTGCTGGGATTGGTGGGTGGAGCTGGAGTCCCACCTAGGCGCGCTGGGTCTTGTGGGTGGAAGCGTTGTCTGGTTTTGGCGTTTCGCGCAATGCTGCGGCCGGGAGACCCGGAGCTGACCCAGAGTAAGTGGAAGGAAGGTCGAGGGTGGGTGGCGGCGGCATCTAGAGACGGCGCCTCGGTTGTGTGACGTGAGCCTGGCTCTTCTCAGCTGAAGGTTTGCAGGGGTCTGAGGCGGGCCCCGGGGTCCCAGCGTCGGCGCGTAGCAGCCTGGGTTCCCCTTCTAGGCGGAGCAGGGCTTTGGGGTCTCTGCGGCCGCCCGGGGCCCTCGTCCGCCGACTCGTTCGTCCAGCGCCTGCCGTGTCCAGCCCTGTGCCTGTGCCGAACGCCCCCAGGGAGGAAGGGCCTGTCTCCCAGCTCCACCAGGCTCCTCTCTCTGACTGAGGAGGCCGGCTTGTTTCTGCCACTGGTCCTGCAGCCTTTTACGAGGGCCTGCTCTGTGCCCCTGGGAGAGACAGGGATGAGAGGAGTACCCGACTGCTGCTTCTCCAGAGCACAGTCCTGTTGAGAAATTCGGATTCATATCTGGGAACTAGGTCTCCTTAATCGTCCGACTGGTGTTTATTGGAAAGAGCCCTGAGAGGAAACATCGTGAACCAAAGATGGTCCCACGTCGGGCCCCCTGCATGGGGCCTGCTTCTTCCTCTGCTTGTGTCTCTGCACCCCCTCCCCCCCCGTCTCTCATGAATAAATAAATTAAAAAACAACAACAACAACAACAACAAAGATGGTCCCTGACCTCAGGGATTTGAATCCGAGAGGGCAAGCATGTTAAACAGTGATCTCACTAAGAGCTTTAAAATACGTGCTGCCTAGGAGAGGTGCCTGATGTTATGAGTGTCTGCAATAAGCAGAAAAGCCTCTGTGAGGAAAAGATGCCCGAGCTGATACCTAAAGGAAGAATTGTAATTATTTGGGTCAAGGGAGGAAGGCAGAGCGTTCCTTATAGAACAACATGTGCAGGGGCCCTGCGGCAAATGGGAGGAAAATGACTGAAAGGCAGAAAGAGGCCACTATGGCTATTTCAGAGGGAATGAAGGAGGGTCTGGTACAGGATGCAGCTGGAGGTGGGTAGAGGTGCAGGACTGATGGGAAACGACCGAGCTGTTTTGTTTTGTTTTGTTTTGTTTTTGTTTTTGTGGGGGGAGAGAGTGGTGTGATGGGACAGGTGGTGGCTTGATCACTCAGTAGCATAAACAGATTGGAGGAGAGATGGATGCAGATAGACCATTTAGGTGAGAGATATTAGTAATGAGGACTGAGGTATTGGTACAACTACAGAGAACTGGACAGATGCTAGAGATAAAAAGGAGCTAAAATCAGGAATTAGTGATGGAGTGGATTCAGGGAGTGAAAGAGAAATCAAATCTCAGGTTTCAGGCTTATGCAACTGGGTAGTTTTTTTTTTGTGTTTTTTTTTTGTTTGTTTGTTTGGTTGTTTTTAGATTTTATTTACTTAAATAAAATAAGTGCACAAGCAGGGGGGAGGGGGAGAGGGAGAAGCAGGCTCCATGCCGAGTAGGGAGCCCAGTGTGGGGTTCGATCCCAGGACCCTGGGCTCATGACCTGAGCCAAAGGCAGATGCTTAACTGACTGAGCCACCCAGGCGCCCCACAACAAGGTAGTTTTTTTTTTTTTGGAAGGGGAAGGGAGAGGTCATTCCTGACATCCAGGAGGCAGTTTGAAATACACCGTTGGGACTCTGAGATATTTTGGGAAATGTTTAGTGGGAGTAATTTGCACATAGGTGATAATTGAGCCATGGGTGTGGTTAAGATCAAGAACCTTGAGTGGTCCCAACATGTAATGGTCAAGAATGGGAGCATGAGTCCACAAGAGAAACAAAAGCACGAGAGTGGAGGACCAGAGGAATGTTGTCTCAGCAACAGGAAATGGTCTGTATTAGAAAATATGAGAACTGAAAAATAACCTATGGGCTTTATCATTGTGGAGCTTATGGTGTCCTTTGTGAAAGTTGGTGTGATGGGACTAGAAGCCAGATATGAGGCAGAGATTCAGGGAAGGAAATGGAGGCAGTGAATCTAGGGAGTATTTTTCATACATACAATTGTAGAGGAAAGGATGTGGAAGCTGAAGGAGATGAGAAGTCACCAAGGACCCAGAGTGACAGAGAAATTGAAAACACAAGAAAGGAATTGGGTCATTGATACTGTTCTGAAACTTGGGAATGGATGGAATCCAAAGTACAGTTAGAGCAATCTTAGGAAATCGGACAGTTTGTCCAGTTAACAGAAAGGAAGAAGGAAATGAAGGCAACCAATACAGGTTGTTCGTGTGTTTTGTACTGGTAAAATGAGTTCCTATCTCTTAGCTTTTATATTTTCTGTTACATAGGTGATGGGACCATATACATAGAGTGAGAGGAGGGCAGAAATTTTAGAAGTTTGCAGAAAGTCTGAAAGTCATTGTAGATTGTGGGAGAATGAGTTGACGAGAGAAATGTACAATTGTCTTGCAAAATTAAGGACCCATTTGAGGTTGGAGATCATAATGTTTTTTCCTAGCAACAGGAGGCTGTTCAGTGTGGGCATGGAGAAAATGTATCCAGGTATGGTGAGGACTGGATTTTACATGTTCAACACACTTTTCTACCTCTTAATGTGCTTTCTATTACTGAACAGTTTGGGATGCTAAAAATGATTTCCTAGATTCCTTTGTACCTAAGGGGAGAATTGAATTTGGAACCGAGTTAGATGTGGAGACAAAGAGGGTGAGAGCCATCCAGTTTTGCTGGCAAGTGTCATAACAGAGGCAGTAGATTTTTTTTAGTCAACAACTTTCTGGTTCAGTGACTTTCTGCAATGATAGCCATAACTTTCTTTATCATGGCAAAGACTTATTTTGTGAGTTACAACTTCTTCCTGTAAGTTCTAAGAGACCTGCTCCTTTAGCCCTTCGAGTAATTTTGTAAGCCACATAATACCTGGCAATAACTCCCTTTCTGCTCAACTTAGGTAGCATGAGTTCTGTTGTCTGCAGCTATACTCTACTCCTGCCAGATAGGTGAGCTGTAAAGGCACGGAGTTAAAAGGAGGTCAGGGTATTACTGAAATGATGGGTTGTGGAATCCAAGTTGGAGAGGGCTAATAGGTTGGAAGAAAGTAGAGTTCAATAGATTAGGTTCTAATGAGGTTAAAGAACAGTATCCTCTGCTACAGTATTTCCTTTTATCTTTGAAGTCCTATTCGGTTGTCACCTCTTAAACTTCCCTGTGTCCCCCAAACCCTTGCTCTCTTTTTTCCCAGTACTTTGAACCTAGCCACTATAGCTCTGATCACACTGCATTGTAATTGGTTACCGTTATCCCTACCAGACTAGGAAGTCTTTGAGGGCAGGGACTGTGTTAAAAGAGGTGATTTAGTGGCATGTATGTGGTCTTGAAATGGCCTAATATTTGTCTCTTTTTAGCTATGAGTTTTGGGCAAATTACTTCATTTCTGTAAACAGGGGTATCTACTTTATAAGTTGCTTTAAAGATTGAAAGGTTTATGAAGTGCCTAGCACAGAGCCTGACATAAACATCATAAATATGCTGAATTGATGAGTTAACTAACAGTTTAATAATATATATTTTTTTAATTTTTAAAATTTATTTATTTGAGAGAGAGAATGAGAGAGAAAGTTTGAATGGGGAGAAGGAGAGGGAGAAGCAGAGTCCTTGCTGAGAGAGGAGCCTGATGAAGGGATCAATCCCAGGACCCTGAAATCATGACCTGAGCCGAAGGCAGATGCTTAACCGACTGAGCCATCCAGGTGCCTCCACCCAGGCGCCCCTTAACTAACAATTTAAAATAGGATAAAATGAAGTACTTCAGTATTCAGATATAAATTTCAGTATGTTTTACACTGTGCTAAACACTGGAGATTTTGGGACAGTGACAGACAATGTGTAACACAAGGGCATGCTCAGAGGAATTTCATAGTCTAGAAAGAAAAGGAAAGATGTTCATGGTATTTGAATCTCCTCTCCATTCCTGGGTTTGTAATCTTAAGCAAATTACTTAAACTCTCATGTCTTAGTTTCTTCATCTATGGAATGTCAGCGATAATTGCCTATCTTGTAGAGTGGTCAAAAAGAATTAAATAGTTAAGAGAAGTAAAACTTTTAGGGTAATGGATGGCAAATAAACACTCAAGTAGGGCAGCCCCGGTGGCCCAGCGGATTATTGCCGCCTGCAGCCTGGGGCGTGATCCTGGAGACGCGGGATGAGTCCCACATCCGGCTCCCTGCATGGGGCCTGCTTCTTCCTCTGCCTGTGTCTCTGCCTCTCTCTCTGTCTCTCTCTCTCTCTGTGTCTCTCATGAATAAATAAAAAATAAAATCTTAAAAAAATCAGAGGACTTGGATAAGACCTCTCTAGGTTTATTGATTATAAGTGTGGGATAGGAGAGTGAGTACTGGTCATGGGGTCTAGAGCCAGTAGCCTTTGTCGAGTCACTTGACCTCAGTTAGCCTCATTTTCAGTTAAATAAGAGGGCTGCATGAACTCCAGAATTCCTTTTCAGCTTTCACATTTTATGAGACTATTTGTGTTGGAGCTCCAGTGGCGCAATCGGTTAGCGCGCGGTACTTATGAGACTATTTGTGTGTGTGTGAGATGATTTTGTTTTTGTTTTGTGTTTTACTGTTCTTTCTCTCTCCTGCTTTTGGACATTTTCTCAATTGATCATGACTGAAGTTAAAAAGGAAGAAACATCTATCTAAGATAGTCATTCAATAAATTGGTGGGAAGGAGGAAGTTTGGCTTCCAGTTTGACATTTGAAAGACTCCCACCTGATCTGGCAGAACTCATTTCCTCTGCTTTTCTTTTTCTTTTCTTTTCTTTTCTTTTCTTTTCTTTTCTTTTCTTTTCTTTTCTTTTCTTTTCTTTTCTTTTCTTTTCTTTCTCTTTTAAGATTTTGGGAAAGAGAGAGAGGGAGCAAGCGGGGGAAGGGCAGAGGGAGAAACAGACTCCGCTGTGCAGGGAGCCTGATGCGGGCCTTGATCCCTGGACTCCCGGATCATGACCTGAGCCAAAGGCAGACACTTAACTGACTGAGCCA